AGAGAAGCAGTCTTGGCCAGGGCCTGGAGATTGATGGGTTCTGCTCCGTGCTGGCCAGCATAGGATCCGCCCGGGAGCTAAAGATGGGAGCAGGGCAATGATGAACAGCCTCCTGCCATGGGGAAGCCAGCTTGAGGCCTAATCAGATCAGATCCCCGCTCCCAGCTCCTCTGGCCCCTTTCCCTCCTCCTCCCAGCTCACTGACTTCCCATTCTTACTTCCCAGCCCTACCCTGCCTGAGGCCTCCAGCCACCCCAGTTGCTTTTATAAATGGCCCTTGCAGGCAGTGGGCACCTTGGCTAATTGAGTCAGCGCCCAGGAGGCAGGAGGCAGGAGGCTGGTTAGCATCACGGCTGAAAGACGGTGGCAGCAACAACTTGAGTGGAGTCGTCAGGGAGGAGCCTGCAGAAGCAGAGAGCGCCAAGGAGCTGGGCCTTTGTAGATTCTGAAGCTCCAGGGTGATAACTCACAGGGTGGGGATGGCGGGACGGCTTGATCACCCCCACTATCACAGGCTGACACCATGGACCACTGGCCAACACACACACACACACACACACACACACACACACAAATACACACACCACTCCTATGCTTTAGAAAAAGAAAATCCAAGGGGAGGCAAGAGAGGTAGAGAAGAAAAGGAGCGGGAAGAATGATGCTGTATGCCGTATGTGCACACCACTGTGCTAGATGCCAGTCATTAAGCCATCCTTACCTGCCCCAATGTCACCTCTGAGTAATAATTAGCAAATCAAACCAGTTTCTAGGTGTCCTGGTCATAGCAACCCTTCTCATGGTGTCAACAGCTATCTGACTTCAGGCCTTGGATCAGTCACTTGCTGCAATACTGCCCTGTCCCCTTTGAGGGCAGCTGATTCCTTACCTATGAATTTGCCCCTGGGCAGCCTGGTGGCATAGAAGCCCTCCAAGGAGGCCGGCACAGTGGCCCGTGCCTATAATCCCAGCATGCTGGGAGGCTGAGGCAGGTGGTTCACCTAAGGTCAAGAGTTTGAGACCAGCCTGGCCAACATGGTGAAACCCTGTCTCTACTAAAAATACAAAAAATAAGCCCAGTGTGGTGGCAGGTGCCTGAAATCCCAGCTATTCCAGAGGCTGAGGCAGGAGAATCATTTGAATCCAGGAGGCGGAGGTTGCAGTGAGCAGAGATCATGCCGTCGCACTCCAGCCTAGGCTACAAGAGAGAAACTCGATCGCAAAAAAAAAAAAAAAAAGAAAGAAATCCTCCCAGGAGGATCTGACCTCCACGTGTCTGTCTGAGGAAGGGTGATCCCTCAAGCAAACTCCTTCATTCCTGCATTCAGTGAGCATCTGGCTGCCCACTCCACCCCACAGGCCTGAGGGTGGGGACGATGGGTCCATGTGGCTCCCCAGCTCCTAAGTGCTGCTGGTCCATGAGCGATGCTCCATGGCATTTGGTTTTCTGTTGTTTTTGCTTTTGACCAGGGCCTCACTCTGTCGCCCAGGCTGCTGTGCAGTGGCTCAGTCACAGCTCACTGTAGCCTCAACCTCCTGGACTCAAGCAATCCTCCCACCTAAGCCTCCCTAGTAGCTGGGATGACAGACAAGCACCACCATACTCAGCTAATTTTTAAATTTTCTGGGGAGATGGAGTTTCCTCATTTTGTCTAGACTGGTCTCAGACTCTTGGGTTCAACTAATCCTCCGGCCTCAGCCTCCCAAAGTGCGTGAGCAGCCGTGCCTGGCCCGTGGCATTTGTTGAATGAAGGAAGGTACACATTGCAGATGGCCGTGGTGCACTTGAGGCTGGAGTGGCACTGACACCATTCTCTGGAGGGTGGCCCACCCCTCGATCACATCTTCTGAGAGGGACCCTGATGGCCTGATCAGCATTTTCTCAACAACTGTCTTAAGGACTTTCATTACCCCTCCCAACTTCCCCAAACGCTACTTCCCCTGCCCCTCCAGCCCTCACGCCACCTTTCCCGAGGGCCCCAATCAACCACTTCCCCTTTTGAGTCACAGAGAGCATCAGAATGGAAGAACCCCAGTCCCTAGATCTGGAAAGTGACAGAGAGGGGACGAGGGAACAATGTTCAACTTAGGACCCCGCACCTCTTGGAGGCTGGGTCCACACATCTGGGAGTGGGATTCTGAGGCTCTGAAGGGACGCTCTGACACACAGAGTCCTCAAATTATCCCCAAGCCCTTCGGGTAGTAAATGGCTTCCTTCAGGGCCAAGGCCCCGAGCCTGGCGGTGGCGAAGTTCCTGGTGGCCTTTTCCACAGGCTAACACTGCCCCCTGCCGGGCTGAGGCAGGACAGCCACTTCAAATGCGCCTTAGGAAATCCGAAATGTGGCTGCCTTGCCAAAGAGAACCCCCAACTTCCACCGCTGGCCTCAAGAGGGGGAAGAGTAAAAACCTTAAGGGCAGTGGGGCCTTCCAGCCTTCAGTGATCCTGAGTTTGGGAAGGGATGGTGCCGGGAGCAGCCCTTCTGCACAGACAGGAAGGGCCCTCACTGGCTCTCCCCAGGCAGCTCATCCACTGCTCAAGTTCCTTCAACAAGGGAAAAGGCCACAGTGAGAGGAGAAACAGAGGTCACCTGGGAGGTGGACGTCCATGCCTAAGTCTATGCCCCTCTCCCTTCTGAGAGCTGATTCTTCTGTCCAGCTCCAAGACTCGTCTTGCTGGGTAAATGCCAGCCATCTCCCTCTCAAGGCATCAGAAACTAAGTTCATCTCGTTCTCAAGTCCCAAGGCTCAGGACCAGCATGCGGACTCATACCTATAATCTCAGCACTTTGGTACCTGAGGAGGGCAGATCACTTGAGGTCAGGAGTTCGAGACCAGCCTGGCCAACGTGATGAAACTCTATTTCTACTAATATATATATATATATATATATATATATATATATATATATATATACAAAAATTAGCCTGGCATGGTGGCTCACACCTATAATCCCAGCACTTTGGAAGGCCGAGGCAGGAAGATCACCTGAGGTCAGAAGTTCAAGACCAGCCTTGCCAGCATGGTGAAACCCCAGCTTAACTAAAAATACAAAAAATTAGCCGGATGTGGTTGGTGCACACCTGTAGTCGCAGCTACTCTGGAGGCTGAGGTGGGAGAATCACTTGAACCTGGGAGGCAGAGATGGCAGTGAGTCAAGATCACACCACTGCACTCCAGCCTGGGTGACACAGTGACATTCTATCTCAAGAGAAAACAAAACAAAAAAAAAAAGCACAAGTCTCTCTAGAAACCCTCTTTCTCTGTGTTCCACATTGAGTATGAGTCCAAGATCTGCAGGCGCTAGCTCTAGATCAACTTTTGAATCCAGTCCTTTCTGAATTCTCCCTTCCATTTTTTGAGCCAGGGTCTTGCTCTGTTGCCGAGGCTAAATGATTCTCCAGCCTCAGTCTCCCAAGTAGCTGAGACTACAAGTGTGCACCACCACACCTGGCTAAATTTGTTTCTTTGTTTTTATAGAGACAGAGTCTCACCATGTTGCCCAGGCTGGTCTCAAATTCCTGGGCTCAAGTGATCCTCCCACTTTGGCCTCCCAAGTCGCTGGGATCACAGGTGTGAGCCATCATGCCCAGATGAATTTCCCCTTTTCAGTTTAGTCCCAACCTACCCCTTCCTAACCAAGTCCATCCTCCACAGGGCTATCGGGTTATTGCCCTAAAGCTCAGCTTTTATGGGACTCACTGTTCAAAAGCCTTGAGTCGTTCCGCCTTTCCCTCTAATTAGGTACCAGTCCCCCTTAAGACAGTCAGAACCTGCATTCCCAACTAGATTGTGTCACCTTCCCCGTGCTCTGGTCGTAGAACTCCGTCCTGAATGCGACACATCCGTAGGTCCCCGTGGTTTCACCCACACTCCCATTCCTATCCAAGATGCTCCTTCACACCCCCAAATCTCCATGGAACCCCTTCCCATCCGTAAACGCCACCTGAAATGGTGCCTTTGATATGAAGCCTTTCTTGCGCTCCCAGCAGACAGTTAGCTCTCCGGCACTCACGGCCCTGTCTGGCCCCTTGTGGCACTCACACCCACTGTGTGACAAACACCTGCACCCTGTCTCATCTCATCCCGTTCTGGGCTGTGTGCCTCTCGCAGGCCAGGAAGTCTACAGCCTCCCACAAACAGTGCCCATGCTTTCGGCAGACTACGCTGATAGGAGAAGTCCATGGACACACCCTGCCAGGAAAGCAGGTTTGATCAGAGGACCAAGCACAAGGACACAGGCTGACCTGCAGGGAAGTGGGTGCGTGGGGGCCTGGGAGCCCAGGGCCAATGGGAATCACAGAGCTGGAAGGCTGCTCCGTGCTCACATGGTGCAACTCCCTCATTTTACAAAGATGTACACAAATCTCAGGGAAAGGAAAGAGCCTAGGGCCACAGAGCAGGTGACTCCCACTCCTGGTGTGTAAGAGGCTTCATCAATCCAATGTTTCCTTCCTTGCAGTTCGGCTTTGCCTTGCTTCCCACTGTTTCTCCCACCATGTCTCTGACATTGACCTTATCCCAGCAAAGGGGAGACATGCTTGAACATTGTTCTCAGGGTGCCCTGACTTCTTTTTTTTTTTTTGAGATAGAGTCTCGCACTGTTGCCCAGGCTGGAGTGTGATGGTGCAGTCTCGGCTCACTGTAACCTCCGCCTCGCAGGTTCAAGCGATTCTCCTGCCTCTGCCTCCTAAGTAGCTAGGATTACAGGCACCTGCCACCATGCCTGGCTAATTTTTTAGAGATGAGGTTTCACTATGTTTGCCAGGCTGGTCTTGAATGCGTGACCTCGTGATCCACCCAACTCAGCCTCCCAAAGGGCTGGAATTACGGACGTGAGCCACTGCGCGTGGCCTGGGTACCCTGACTCCTATGGGCTTCTGTGAGATTCTGGAGCCCAGCCTAGGCCCTGGGGGCACGTTGCAGCTAGGAGAGGATGTGATCAAGGGTGGTCAGTTGGAGTCTTCACCCCCACAGCATTCATGCCACACACAAAAATGTTTCCAAAGTGCTTTAATGCCACTGAGCAATCTGAAAGCTGAGGAAGCTGCCGCCACCCACCTGGGTGCCTGGGCCCGGGCTGTCCCTGAAGTGGCCATCAGCAGTCAGGAGGCCTGCAGAGCCAAGCAGCCCACGCAATTGCTGACATCCTTTTGTCCTCTGCCCTAAATGCCCCAGGTTCCCCCTCAGCTGGGGAAAGAGAGGAGGAAGTGGAAAAAGAGTGGGAGGAGGCTGGGTCCTCCAGGACGCCCTTCCTGCTTTGGGATGGTCACTCACCCAGCAGGCCCTGAGAGAGGCAGTGTTTCGGCCCCAAGGAAGGCAGGCCAGACCTCGGGCTCCAGAGGGGCAGAGGAGGGTCTTCTGATGCTGTGGCCATGAGGAGTCACCAGCAGAAGCCAGGGATGGGGGATGGTGGGCCATCCCTCTGCTGCTTCTGTCACTATGGGCCTTTCTTAAGTACGACATTATCATACTCAGTTCCTGGCTGCCAGCCAGAGGCAGAGAGATCCTGCCCAGCTGGGTAGACATGCTGGAGGCCACCGGGGTCCCTGTCAGCTGTTGCCTGCCTCCTCCAGGCCTCACCCTGGGGCTCCTGCGGGCTGTCATACAGGGACAGGGCAGCCACTCCCTCGGGCTCATCATATATGTGGTCGGGTCGAGGGGGCGGGGGCTCCTCAATGCTGTCGTACAGAGGGTCAGCCAGGAGCTGAGGAGGGACTGCCAAGATGCCCTTGAAGTTCTTCCCCAAGGAACGGGCCACTGCATCGAAGGGCACAGCATACTCCCCCTCCGGGCCCGGAGGCCGTGGAGCAGGCACCAGTGTGGTGGGTGAAGGCAGCGGCAGTGAGTCATGGGGCCGGGAGTAGGGGCTCTCAGGCCGGGGCAGCAAGGCAGGGATTGTGGCTGGCTGGGGTTGGGGTGCAGCGGGGGTGGCATTCTTCTGGGCAGAGATGGCCTCTTCCAGGGCCAAGAAGATCTCGTTGCCTTGCCGGGTTTCAAACTCAAAGTTGCCCTCTCCAGAGGCGCAGCGCCGGCCTGCCTCAAAGGAAAAGGTTACCTAGGCCAGGGAGAAAGGAGGTTATTGAGCAGCCGCAGGGCAGGGATGCTGCTTTCTTCTTCTTCTTTATTTTGTTTTTGAGATGGAGGGTCATTCTGTCACCAGGCTAAAGTACAGTGGTGTGATCTCAGCTCACTGCAACCTCTACCTCCCGGGTTCAAGCGATTCTCCTGCCTCAGCTTCCCGAGTAGCTGAGACTACAGGCATGCACCACCACACCCAGCTAATTTTTGTATTTTTAGTAGAAACACGGTTTCAGCATGTTGGTCAGAGTGGTCTTGATCTCTTGACCTCATGGTCTGCCCGCCTCAGCCTCCCAAAGTGCTGGGATTACAGGCTGAGCCCCTGCGCCTGGCCCAGGGATGCCTTCTTTTTTTTTTTTTTTTTTTTTGGAGATGGAGTTTCGCTCTTGTTACCCAGGCTGGAGTGCAATGGCGCGATCTCGGCTCACCGCAACCTCCGCCTCCTGGGTTCAGGCAATTCTCCTGCCTCAGCCTCCTGAGTAGCTGGGATTACAGGCACGCACCACCACGCCCAGCTGATTTTTTTGTATTTTTAGTAGAGACGGGGTTTCACCATGTTGACCGGGATGGTCTCGATCTCTTGACCTTGTGATCCACCCGCCTCGGCCTCCCAAAGTGCTGGGATTACAGGCTTGAGCCACCGCGCCCGGCCCGCCTTCTTAAACCCTATCTCTAACCCAAGCCCTGGGACCTCCAGCTTCCCTTCACCGGAACTGCTGGCGCCTCCTCTGCAAGCCCTCTGTGCTTTTCCCTACAAGCAGAGACCTGGCTCTCTCCTCCTCCGTCTCCAGGCCCTTCCTGCTCACTGCCCGCCATTCGAGGATGGAGCCAGGTACTAGTTCAGCCGCCGTTCACCCCCCACGGTCTCTGCACCTCGTCTCATTCTCTTTCCTCCTTCCTTCTCCTCCATGTCTGCCATCTTGTCACTCTCCTCCTCCTCTTTGCTTCACTCCGTCTCCCTGTCCCAGGTCTCTCCCATCCCCTCGCTGCTTCTCTTCTCTTCCGCTGGCCTTTATTCTCTGCCTTTGCTTCCTCCCGCCTCCTCCCCCCCGCCATCCTCTCCGCCTCTGATGGCTTCCTCGGCCTCGTCTGGCCTTCTCTGCCTCTCCCTGATCACCCACTTTGTTCGTAGCTTATCCTTTCTCCCAACCCAGCCCCATGCAGCTTCCCACTCACCTTGTCCCGCCCAAAGCGCCGCAGAAACCTGTGGGGCCAGTCGTACAGCTGGGTTTCTGGTTCAGGCCCACCCCACAGCTCCAGGGCACTCTCCCCGACCCGGAGGGTATAGGACCCCCGCAGGTGGCACCTCTCACTGGCTTCTGTAGATCTCATGGTCACAGCGAATTCCTTGCGGGGGCCAACTGGGGAGAAGAGAGAGAAGGCGAAGGCAGTTAATGGGAAAGAGCTGGCCTGCCTCGCCACTGCCCAGTTAGTTCTAAATGAGTGTGCCAGAAGTTTTCTAGAAAGAATATTATCCATGTACTCATGACCCCTGTCTGGGTCTTGGAGGCTGAGCTGCTCTGTGCCAGGTCATACTCCCCAAAAGGCCAGGTACCTCCACCCCCTACCCTAGTAGGCCTCCTGCCCCTACCCACATCCACCCCAACCTCGTGCCCACATCCTTCCTGCCCCTGTTGCCAGAGCCACAGTCTTGTCTTCTCCACCCCTTCTCTCACCCCAAACCAGTCACCTCCCCAATCCCTACGGTCACAGCTGCAGGTGAAGCCTGGCCCTGCCCTCCCACTGCCAGGGCCCTGAGGGGGTGGAGCTTAGATGGAAGGCCGATGAAATCTTCTCCCTCCACCAGCCCCTCAAAAGCAGCACCTGGGCCGGGTGCGGTGGCTCACGCCTGTAATCCCAGTACTTTGGAAGGCCGAGGTGGGTGGATCACCTGAGGTCAAGAGTTCAAGACCAGCCTGACCAACATGGTGAAGCCCCTGTCTCTACTAAAAATACCAAAAAAATTAGCTGGGCATGGTGGTGGGCACCTGTAATCCCAGCTACTCAGGAGACTGAGGCGGGAGAATCGCTTGAACCCGGGAGGTGGAGATTGCAGTGCGCTGAGATTAGGCCATTGCACTCCAGTCTGGGGGACAAGAGCAAACCTCCGCCTCAAAAATAAAAATAAAAAAAGCAACACCTGGGCCCCGAGCCTTCCCCTCTCCCGCCAGCAGGCCCTAGGTAAGATGGGGTGAACCAAGGGAGAGATGCAAAGCAGGCCAGGCTCCCCTACGCTGGGCTGTACCCGGAAGTGAAAAAGGCTGATAAGGTGGCTGGCCCCAGCTGGGGGTAACCACAAAGCAGGAAGACTCTGGGCCAGCGGCTAGCTGGCCCACACCTCCTCTTGACCTCACCCTGGGGAGAGACCCCAGGGACAGCAGGGCAGCCCCCGCCCCTCACCTGTGGCCCCGCAGCTGTACAATTCATTTTCCTCCATGCACGGCCGGCTCTGCTTTCCCTCTGGCCCCGAGTGCTCCTTCCTCTGCCCCTGGGAAGGAGGCCCCAGGTTTCACCACCTTCCCCGATGCCCAAGCCCCCCTCTAACCCAGGCCTCCTTGCAGGGCACCCCAGTCTGCTGGTTCTGTCTGCGCGCTGGGTTCGGCCCCCCTCTCAAGGAAGCACCCTGACCTTGACTCCTCTAACAGCTGCCCACAGGAAGCATCTAACACCCTGGCCTGCACGGCCCCTTGCCCTTTCTGCACCCCCAGGGTGACTCACGGGGAAGGCCAGGAGGCAGATGGCCTGCACCCAGTCGCCGCGCTCCGCAGTGGGGGCCGCCAGCAGGTACAGGCGCTCCTTGGTCTCCAGGAAGAAGGCACTGGTGTCCCGGGGACTGCTGGCCTCTCCGCCGGCCTCAGCCACCCGCAGGCAGTCACTGAGGCGGATGACCTTCCGGGCAGCCTCACCCCGACGCGGCTTCTCCGGGCTCTCCTGCAGCTCGAGCCGGGCCAAGGCGCAGTCCGACTCTCCATACAGCGTGGCCCCGAAGCGGCGCCATTTCTGAGCCAGAGGCGAGGGAGGCGGGGGCCCGAAGGGGGCCACCCAGAGACGGGGAGATCGTGACTCAAGGGGAGAAGAGGAACCGTGGGAGGGGGACCGGGGCAGCCACAGGAGATGAGGAAAGGGAGGTGAAGATCACAGGAGACCCAGGGAGGCAGAGAAAAGGACAGGGACTGCAGGAATCGGAAAATCGGACATCAGCCGCCAGCCCGGAAAGCGAAGCCCACGAGCAGGAGCACACATTGCTCAAGCAGAAAGCAACACAGGGATGAGCCCAAAGCAGGCTGCAAGAAGCCAAGAGGGGCCCGTCCCAGCGGACTCCAGTCCCGGGAAGGAAAGCCGGGCAGTGGCTAAAGCCCAGAGGAGGGAGTGAGGAGGGCAGCGTGTGGCCCGGCCTAGAGACCTCATTCTCCTTCTGTGCCAAGTCCTGAAGAAGGCCCCATACTCCAGGAATGTCTCTCCACCGTCCTGAACCTTGCTGCCTCACTGCTTGATAGGTTGGGCCATGAGAGAGAGACAGGTGTGCCCCCAGTGTCGGTCAGCTGGGGGATGAGGACTTCCTGGTTCAAGGAGGCCAGGGAAGGAGAGAGAGGATAGACAGCTGGCTGGGTCCCGGCCCCCAGAGGCCCCATGCACGAACACCAGCCACATGCACCCCACTGGGGTGGGGAAGGAAATGCTCCCGTCATCCTAAACTGTCCCTCCAGCTGCCCTTCCCATTCCTTTCCAAGATGTCCTGTGAAAAGAAGCCAACACAGAGTAAAAGAGCAAAAGAGGCAAGAGATGAAGCCAGCACATGCCCCTACCCCCACCCAGGGCAAACAGCCCTCCGCAAAGAGCACAGTTTGGGACCTGGTTGGGGCCTGGTTCAGGAGACAGCGTCTGGTGGGGAAAGAGCCCTCCCAAGGTTGAGCTTTGAGTCTGACTTGGTGGGTACACAGTCAGACCTATAAGGGTGTTGAATATGAAACTCTCCGCACCCCAGGAATTTCTAGCAGCCCTCCAGGCCCACCCCCTCCCCAGCCCCAGCCCAGCCTCACCCCTACCTTTCCAAATGTTTGCTGCTGCTGAAGATACAGGAAGCCCTGCTTCACTGCCCCGTCTCCCATCCTCTGACCATCTCGGAGCCCCTGGATTCGGCTCTCTCCTTCACTCCTGCCCTCTCCTTTGTCTTCTCAGCTGTGTGTTCCCCTTCTCTGAAGTTCATTTCCTCTCTGCCTAGAGTTTTCTACACTATTCTAGTCTGCTCGATGACGACAGGCTGATAGGCCCTGTGGTTTCTTCCGAGTGTGTGTGTGTGTGTGTTTTTCTGAGTGAGTCTTATGCACAAGCTTCCTGCATTTTCAGTGAGTTACAGACAATTTCCAAAAAGGCAAGTGCCATCTCTTCAGTGAGTGACAATTCAGGTACAGAAGCTGGCACAGGGAGGCACCAGCAAAGAGGGGCTGGCCTGCTGGAACAGAGACCCAGAAACCAAATTAGACAGTGAAACCAAGAGCAGAAGGGCCCCACCTCAAGCTGTATGCAAGCTGGAAGGGACAAACCACTAAGTTACATGTAAGGAAACCGAGGCTGGGAAAGCTTGAGGAACTTATCTGAGGCTTCTCAACTCTAACAGGTGAACCACACATACGACATGGCACAGAGAGACACATAAGACAGCTCATGTGGGCCTCACCAGACACCACTTTCCCATACACTCCCCCTCCAACACACACACACACACACACACACACACACACACACACACACAGAGAGAGAGAGAGAGAGAGAGAGAGAGAGGTGCCACCATTTAACTACATGGGAGCACTCCCTGCCAAGAACACACACTTACACCAACCCTGTAAAGATTCTAGAAACATGATCATCTCCTCTGGAGAAGGAACTGACTCCCCAGGTACACCTCAACTGCTGGATTTTTGCCTTCTTTCCAGCATTCCTGAGCATTAGAAAGATGCTTAGGTTTCATCTGCAAATTATCTTAAGTTTCAATAGCAATCACTTCCATATATATTTTGAAAATGCCTCATAGTTGCCGAAAATGCTTCATAGCTCCCAAAGTTTCCAGGCCCACACTTTCAACGGCCACTCTGTCCCTTGACAAAGGCAGCGCAGGTATGAACACACTTATTTGCATCTTGCCTGAGGTCACAGAGCTAGGCGGCAGAGGAAGAAGTAGAGACCAGGGCTCCTGATTCAGCATTTTGCAGGCCCCTAAATGGAAGCCAGATCCATGCAAGAAGACCCATTGCTTTAGGGAAATCCAAGCTGCTCAGAGAAGTTTAGCTTAAAGCCAGATGGTTTAGAGAAGCAATCTGCATAGAGGCACGGTGCAGAAATGCTGGAAAAAACTGAGGCTCAGACCAGCAGTTCATTCTCTTGGGGTTCATTCCATAGCAGGTGCTTATATACACAGGCCCATTTCCTCTCCCACAGGGGTTCAGTTACCCTGACAAGGAGCGAGAGCACCGTGCACAGCTCAGGCCTGCTGTACATGCCGTGGACCAAATCAGCTTGAAAAGCTGAATGTCACGAGCTCTGTGAGGTCAGGGCTGAGTCACTTCAAGCTCGCCGCCCCCCACTCTGACGCCTGGGTTGGGAGAGGTTGATCCAAAGCTCAAGAGAGAACCAAGGATGCTGTTTTGGGAAAGGCACACCTTGGAAAGTGGGTAGTTGTATGGAAATGGGATGTGGCCTAATCTTCCTCTTGAGTCAACTCTGCCTGGGAGCTGCATGGTCTCTAGCTCAGGAAGTGAGAAGAGGAGGGCTTTAGGGCCATCCTGGGGGCTACCAGAGCAGTGCCTTCCAAACTGTAACATGTAGATCCTGTTAAAAGTCCAGATTCTGGCCTGGATGTGGTGACTCACACCTGTAATCCCGGCACTTTGGGAGACCGAGGCGGGCAGATCATGAGGTCAAGGGATTGAGACCACCCTGGCCAACATGGTGAAATCTCACATCTACTAAAACTACAAAAATTAGCTGGGTGTGGTGGCGCACGCCAGTTGTCCCAGGTACTCAGGAGGCCGAGGCAGAAGACTGCTTGAACCCGGGAGGTGGAGGTTGCAGTGAGCTGGGATGGTGCTACTCCAGCCTGGCAACAGTAAAACTCCGTCTGGAAAAAAAAAAAAAAGGTGCAGATTCCAATAAAGTAGGTCTGGAATGAGCCCTGAGATCCTACTGGTGGTGAGTGGGCCAAACCACACTGAATAGCAGAGAGTGTCCCCTGCTACCCTGATTGCCTTCCCTGAAGGTAAAACGGACACATTCCACTTGGAACCACAGGGGGGCACCCCAGCTTACCAGATTACTTGAAAGCTATTTAAGCCCAGAGGCCGGAACCCCAGGCAATCCAGACACCCCATGTCAGCCCTTGCCTATGGAAGCTGGAAAAGTTCTCCGGTTGCCGTTGTCTGCAGAAGACAGGACAGCAGAGCATATACCAAGAGTAATACCCTTGCAGTCCTTCTAGGCCCGTTCAACTGTCCCTAGCAGGATTTGTGGGGACCCTGAAATAGAAGCAATAACCCCAGTACCTTCTGCCTAGCCACAGGGAAACCCTTTGAGCAGGAGCCCAGAGACATTGCTCCAAGACACAGCAGAAATGCAGAGAATTAGACGCCCTGAGGATCTGCAGGCACCAATGATGTGTAGATAAAGCATTGTATGCCGGGTGCAGTGGCTCATGCCTGTAATCCCAGCACTTTGGGAGGCTGGGGAGGGCGGATCACCTAAGGTCAGGAGTTCAAGACCAGCCTGACCAACATGGTGAAACCCTGTCTCTACTAAAAATACAAAAATTAGCCAGGTGTGGTGGCAGGTGCCTGTAATCCCAGCTACTCAGGAGGCTGAGGCTGGAGAATCCCTTGAACCCAGGAGGCGGTGGTCGAATTGAGCCAAGATAGGGCCACTGCACTCCAGCCTGGGGGGACAAGAGCGAGACTTTGCCTCAAAAGAAAAAGCATTCTAAAGGAGTTTAGCGTGTCTCTTGGCTTCTCTTTGTTTTTAAGGAAAGGAAGAGGCACTCCAAACCCCACCTGTGGCTCATTCTAAACCACTGTCCTTTTCAACGTTTTCTCTCAGCAGGAGTCAGGAAGCACAGCTCCAAGAACTTTGCAACTTTTTGTTACTGTCATGCTGCAGTCATTAGCAACCCAATCCTAACGTAACAGGGCTTGGGACCTTGTCTTTGGGGCAACAAAGGAAGGAGAAGAGGAGACTGTGTCTGACTCCTTGGGCAGGCTTGGCGATTAGGTAACCCTCAAATGATGTGCAGGTAGGTAAGCTAGCTAACGGGTCGCTCTGGGCACAAACAGGAAAGTAGGTACAGGATGGGCAGAGAACTGACCTGGCCCTAAGAAGGGTAAAGGACGGAGCGAAGACATCAGTAAGCATGTATTCTGAAGGATCCCCTCCCTGCCCCTTCCACCCTCAGTGGTCCCTGACCGTTGGGGGAGGAGGACAATGCCAGTCTCTTGAGTTTCATTTGTAGCCCCTACCCTTACTCCATTAAGTCTATCAATTTTCCACTAGGCGTGGTGGCTCACACCTGTAATCCCAGCACTTTGGGAAGCCAAAGTGGGTGGATCATGAGGTCAGGAGTTTGACACCAGCCTGACCATCACGGTGAAACCCTGTCTCTACTAAAAAAAATACAAAAATTAACCGGGTGTGGTGGCACATGTCTGTAAATCCAGCTATTCAAGAGGCTGAGGCAGGAGAATTGCCTGAACCTGGGAGGCAGAGGTTTGAGCCGAGATCGTGCCACTGCACTCCAATCTGGGCAACAGAGTGAGACTCTGTCTCAAAAAAAAAAAAAAAAAAATGTCTACCACTTTTCTCAGTACTAAGGAAAGGGAGAATCTAGTTCTAGAAACCCTCTGAGAGGAAGGGCCTGTAACATAATATAACATGATGTAACATAAGCATAATATTTATGTTACCTAACAGTAACATAATAATTAGAATACTTTATGTCTTCATATGAAACCCACATGCACCCTGGAATGAGACATAAAGAAGATAATACATTCCACAATTTTTAAAATTTATTTTATGTTTTGAGATGCAGTCTCCCTCTGTCGTCCAAGCTGAAATGCAGTGGCGCGATATTGGCTCATTGCAACTCCTGTCTCTTGGGTTCCAACCATTCTGCCTCAGCTGCTCGAGTAGCTGGGATTACAGGTGCGCACCACCATGCCAGGCTAATTGTTTTTTTTTTGTTTGTTTTGTTTTGTTTTGTTTTTGAGATGGAGTTTCACTCTTGTTGCCCAGGCTGGAGTGCAATGGCATGATCTCGGCTCACCACAGCCTCCACCTCCCAGGTTCAAGAGATTCTCCTGCCTCAGCCTCCTGAGCAGCTGGCATGCACCACTATGCCTGCCTAATGTTGTATTTTTAGTAGGGACAGGGTTTCTCCATGTTGGTCAGGTTGGTCTCGAACTCCCACCCTCAGGTGATCTGCCCGCCTCAGCTTCCCAAAATGCTGGGATTACAGGTATGAGCCACCTCGCCCAGCTAATTTTTTAAATTTTTAGTAGAGATGGGGTTTTTTACCATGTTGGCCAGGCTGGTCTTGAACTCTTGACCTCAAGTGATCCACCCACCTCAGCCTCCCAAAGTACTGGGATTACAGGCATGAGCCAACATGCCTGGCCTCAATGATTATTTATTGAGCATCTACTCTGTGCAGAGGTACTAGGGATACAACATAAGCAGAATCCTTGTTTACACTGTATCTGCTTCTAGTTGAAGGGACTGACAAAGAGGAAATACGTAGTTTTGGATAGTGATCAATGCTGTGAGTGATTGGCACAGGGGACAACTCTCAAGAGGGTGGTGAGAAAAGTCTCTCTGAGGAGGTGACAAGTGAGCTGAAAAGTCCTTGAGGAGAGTGAACCAGCCATTTCAAGATCTGAAGGAAAACCAAACCAGGCAGAAGGTACTGCAAATGCAAAGCCCCTGAGGCAGGAAGACCCTGGCTTTGCAGAACCGCAAGGCCGGAATGACCAGAGAGCATTCTGCCAGAGGGGGCTTGGTACAGATGAAGTCAGCTCATGTGTACCTCTTGGGCCACAGCAAAGATTCAGATTCTAAATGCAATGTGCAGCCGCTTAAGGATTTTAAGTAGGAGTATAAATTATCTGAATTATGATTTTAAAGCCACTGGCTAGGCCAGGCGTCCCCAAACTACGGCCGGCGGGCTGCATG